GCACATACACTTGATAGCAACATCATTAGTAATGAAAATTAAGTTGTCCACTCTCATTTAGAGTCATCCATCTTGTCAATTTTATCTGAAAACCTTACAATCAAATAAATTTGTAATCGAATAAATCTACAATCAAGAAAAATATTTGCAAATATCTTATACAATAATTATTTTTCTGTACATAAAAAATCAATTCAATCCACTTATTTATTGCTTTAAAATTAAAAATTAAATCTATAATTTTTTCTAATGTATTTATATTATACATTATCTTTATCATATAACACCAATCGACAAAAGAAATTCTAAGAGTATGGACTACTATATTTTTTTAATGACACTGGATTTTTTTTTTGTAAGAAATAAAACCAACAAAAAAGCAAAGAAACTTTCATAAACACGAGGGAAACATGTGACAGACAAATCATACAATTTCCACTCAATCACTACTTCTATATTTTTACTATTTGTTTTTCTGTTTTCATGGAGGATCTGTATGTTTGCTTAATTAATATGTTGAAAAATATTTCTGTGTCATTGAAAACGTGTACTCTTCCTACTATAATACTCTTCCTACTGTAATTTACTAGATACAATTAAAAACAAGTCATGAGTCATATCATATTTATATAGGTGGGCGAATTAGTGATTTCAACTTCAATTTATATTTATTGTTCAACTTACAAAATATTAACAATAATGTGAAAACTTAAATATGATTAAATATCATTTTTTTAAAACGTCATCACATCAAAGACATCTAATTCCTAAATTCTATGTCTAAGAATATTAAAGACACCAAAATAAACAAATAGAGTAGTTTGTGTCAAATACTAAGGACATCGTGTCATGATCGAGAGAATCCAACACAAACTAGAATAAATAACTCACCTTGGGACCTGATGTGCTGGAGATTGGCTAGAGCTAAGGGCGAGTCGAAGTCGCTGGTACATTAATTGTACTTCACAAAGGAAGAAAAAGAAAAATTCATGTAGGAGTCGGTACAGGGCAATATATACTGAGTAGACATCATAGGCCGACCCAAAATAGAAAGGATAAATTACCTATATACACATCTTTATTTTCAATAATTTCTATTATTCCTTATCATTTAATTTTTTTTCTAAAATTCCTCTTTTTCCTTTCAAATCCATTGTTCCAGATACATAAAGTTATACACGTTTTTTTTTCTATTTTTACTTCTTATTTCACTCCCTTAACCTCTTTCTATTTTTACTCACTCTATCTCTTCCTATTTTCATTCCCTCAATCTTTACTTCCTTCATTTTTTAATTTTTAGATTTAATTCTCTCTATTTTCAATAATATCTCTCCACATTTTTTTTCAAAACAACTCAAGTTTTCACTTTATAATTTTTTTCAAAAAATTACCGAATTTTTCTCCATTTTCACCTTCACAATATGCATAAGGTAAAGGTAAATGATATGATGTATTTATATTGTTTCCTGCCAAAAAATCAGTTTTAGGAGATCCTCTTTTGCTGGCGAAACTACATTATGAAATGAAAAGAAGTAGTCTCTACCAAACGCATCATTTTATCATGTATCAAGTGTTGCTGTGTATCTTCTACATTTATTCAAATTTAGAAGAATATGTTTTCGTACACAATATCAAATTATATTCGTGATACATTAGTGAGCGAAGAAATCGAGGAAGGACACATGCTCGAGCTTTAAATCTATTGTTTTACAAATTTTCAAAATCCCTCATTTTTGCGCATTAAATTAATGTATCAGCGCATCAAATTAATGTATCTCACGCATCAGATTAATGTATCATGTATAAAATGTAATGCATCTTACTTAACAATTAATGTATCAACCCTTATTTAAGTTATGATACGTAAATTCAAATCTATGCTAAATGTATTTGAAACATAACAATTACCAAACAATAATGTATTGATCTCAAACAATTACTATAATGTATCTTTAAAAAAATTTAAAGTGTTGTATTTCTCAAATAAAATAATAGGCATAAATAATAATGTATCAAACACTATTTTCTTAGTTATGATACGAAAATTCAAATTTATACTAGATGTATCTTATACATAACAATTACCAAACAATAATCTATCGATCTCAAACTTAAAATATTATGGGCAACACTTACTTATTTAATGTATCTAGTAAAAATATAATATTTATCAATTTAATCGAAATGATCTCAAACAAAAGAACATACATAAATAATAATATATCATGCACTAATTTTTTAGTTATGATACGTAAATTTGAATTTATACTTAATGTATCTGTAACATAACAATTGCCAAATAATAATGTATTTATCTCAAACCTAAAATTTTATGGGCAACACTTTCTTATTTAGTGTACCTAGTAGAACAACACTTATCAATTTAAATTGAAAGGATCTTCATGATGCATCTTCTCGAAAATTTTGATAATTTTCAATCAAAATTGAAAGAATCTTCAATGAACTAGGAGAATAATTCTGAAATTCAAAATTTTCGTCAATTTTGAATCAAAATGAAAAGGATCTTCTATGACTGGAGAAGAATTTAGAATCCCAACATTTTCGATAATCTTGAATAAAAATCGAAAAGATATTCGATGAACTTGAAGATTAACAAAAGAAATCGTTTGTCGAACAACAATTTCATACAATCCTTCATAACTCATCCCGCTTTTTAAAATTTTGACATATTTTTTTATGAAACAGAGAGAACGATGAACAAGAAGAAGAAATTAATTTTTTGATTTTTTTGGGTTGTTACACTATAGGATTTTGAATTCTTGATAATAATTTTGAACGGAATAACGTAATTTGTGGAATCTTAATTTAATTTTCAGTTTTTCCCCTTAATTGTGGAACAAATGGATACTATGAGATTTTAAATTGGTTTTTACAACTTTTTTTTTCTTTAATAAGTGCAATAGTTTGATACATAATGTATCAACAATAATGTATCCGGATCCTTAATTATGTATCTGAACTGTCTAAAAAATATGAGATTTATGTAATTATAAAAATAATAGGGATAGAAGGTAATTTAGATTTTACATTATGATATTTATGTAAGTTATACAAATAGAAATTAATATGCAATAAGTTAGTATAAAATCAATTATAGCACTTAGCATGTGGCGATCAACAAACAATATGAACAACTGACAACAACATCGATGCAAGTACATAGTTAGTCACAATAAAAAGAACACACTTGAGGACTCATGCATCCATACCACTCTTTGAGAAATTTTTTCTTTGAGATGGAGTACATTAAGTTAATTTAATATGTTTTGCTTTAATGTAACCGTGTCAGAACGTGAACCTGATCCAATAATATTGTGTCAAATCGTGACACCCGATCCAATACTATAGTGTCGGATCGTGACATTCGATCCAAATATATCGTGTCCGTTCGTGGCATCCGATCCATTTATATTATGCGGCTCATAGCACTTGTTCCAACAACATAATTAATTTCTTATTCTTTATCATCACTTTAAACTTAATTCACAATATTTCCTCAAGCCTTCTTTATTCAAGACATTATTTTAATAGAAGAAATTTAGGATTATGAATTTCACGATCTTGAGATTTCAGACCAATCACAAACAACACGTAATTATCCAAACCACACCAATCAAGTACATAAAAAATTTCACAATATCGCTCAATGAATATCAATCACTATAGAGTCTCTCTTTCACATAGAATAAATCATAACATACCTCCACCGAAGAATCGATGTCAAGCAAACTATTTTTCCAATGCTTTTCTTTTCATGAATGCATTAGTACATTTTCAGTCTATCAAGTATACAATATTCATAAACAAACAAATTCGTAGACACCCATATTACTATATATTTAGTCTAGATTCCAAAACTCACCAAACTCTATAATTAGATTCCTTAATTTTGATACCAACTAATTACTATATCAACTTTCATAAGTTCCTAATTTTTCAAAGTCTATGATTAACTCTCAATTCCTCCAATTGTCATAACTTTGATGAAATTCGTATAATATAATATGTTAATATTTAATTACCAAATTCAATATATTAAAATTTGAATAATAATGTAATAACTAAATAAAATTAATTAATATCGAATATCAATGAGATATCATGAAACAATTGGCATGCTATCATACTTCTAATAATGAAACAATGCCTAAACCATATTCTCATTTATTCTACTACCATTCTTAAGGCTAACTCATGATTGTCATTCGTTAATTGACCACACCCAATTTTATCAATATTTGTATCCAATCAAATTTCACCAATTCATTTTTCGTTCAAACTAATATTATTAACATAATATTGCCCTTATAAAGAGCAATCAATGCATGCATATCTCAAAATTAAAGTTTATTTGAATGATTTTTACCTGAAGCCTTTATACATTTTATTACTCAGCGTCTATATGCCACCGATGCACAAGTGAGTTTTTGTTGTTCTCCATTTCTTGTTATAATTAAAATAATAAAAATCTTCTTTACTTATTATAATAAATGGGTCACTGGCAAGGGTATTAAATAAATTATGAATTTAGTGCATTGTTTGCTAATTAATAAAAAATATTATTTGATAAATACAACTACCTAAAATACCGTTAGTTATATTAATATATATATAATTAAATATTCTCTTTAAAATTTATGTGAAGGGTCAAAAGAGTACCTAGTGGGTCTACTTTAATTAGCAAAATATGATATGTACGGATACTACCTTGACAAATAGGATTTTCTTTTTTCGTAATGAGGATATACCAGATTCCATGACATAGGTCTCATGGTCTTATTGTTAGTTAAAATTAATATCCCACAAAATAAGTATATGTTTCTTCAATTGTTTTCTCATGTCTCTTATTTTAAATATGTTTATCATAGACACATAATTTTTGATCGAACATAAGATTTTATACTAATTTTTATTTCTTAATATTTCTTTTATGTCTAAGTTAGATATTTTAATTGTCTTATTTTAAAAAGTTTATTTTAAAAGATTTGAAAATAACAAAAAATATGTGTTTCACTTTTAATTTAGTATTTCTTAATTATAATTGACAATTAGCTGCTTAATTTTTGTTAGTTGAAAAAATAATTATATTATATTATATTACATTATTGTATAAAAAAAAACCTAAACCTACCCCAATCACCACACTTATCCCTTCTAATTACCACAATTCCACTACCCCAACACATCCACACACACGTACAACACACCTCCACTTCCCCCCTCAAACTACACACTACACACACGATACACGCCCACGCATACTACGACTATCTTTTACATATACCCAACAATCAGAAGAGGAAAAAAAATACAGACTACACACGCAAAAAGAAAAAAATATTCACAATCTACAACAATTTGCACAAGAAAAACCCACACTAAAAAAAAAGAAAATCAGCAAAAAGGGACAACACTCAAAAATTACCCACGCTGAATAATAAAAAATTTATGGGTGTTTTAATCGAGCTTTGGTCAAATCCAACGGTACTTATTTTCTTCTTTTGAGGTTCAACTTTATCTTTTATTTTTATTTTATTTATGGAATTTAATGTAATTATGTGATAACTTTTTTTTTTAATAATTTTGTTTCATATTGAAATGAATAGTATTATGTTGAGTTTATTTTGAGATATTACATAAACTGCTCACATGATTAGTCATCTTGAGTTATTATTTATGTTGTTTCTTAGTGCAAATCTCTAAAACATGAATAAAAATCTTATGTCAATAGCCTATTTAAATTTATGTATTTTTGACTAATGAGTAATTATCCAATAAACAAACAAATGAGTTATATTATTAAACTTGAATTTATTCAAATTTGGGTTGGTGGAATCTTTTGATATGCAGATTAATTTTATTAAAAATAATCATTGATTGATATATTAATGGAATATAAAGATTAGTTGTCTTCAATTCACAAAAATAAGAATAAGAATTTTTAATACTAAATGAGTTTTAGGCACGTTAAAAATATTTGTTTCAATTAAGAATGTGATTGCACATCTTTTTGAGACATTAAAAGATAAGGATGTGTGACACACCTTGTCCAGTAATACAATTTACCTTTATTAATCTAAAGTTGAGACTTCTAGACAAAAAATATTAAGTGTGATGCGAAGAAGGCAGTTGTACCTCTAAGTGTCTAGACCAAGAATGCGGCTATGCATCTAAGTTGAGACTAATAAGAATTCAACAATAAAAAATAATAATAAACAAACCATGGCCTGTAGACAAAAATTATCCGAAAACATATTAAGATACGTACAAGCCAATAAAAGCGACCATGCTAGAACCAGGAGACACGAGGGATGCCTAATACCTTCCCCTAGGTCAACAGAATTCCTTATCTGCATTTCTATTTCGCAGACAAAATAAAGAGTCATTTCCTTTTGATCAGGATTAAACAAAAGGTGACTTGGAACACCATAACTCAATTCCAATTTTGATGACTTTGAAAAAGTAAAATAATTCCTAAATCAATGTCGTCACTTAAATTGGAAAAACTCTTAGCGCCGAACGAAAAGGGTTGTGACGTGTACCATATTGTATAAGTTATATGTTTTTACTTCCTTAAACCTTCCATATGATCAAATGTTGGTCATGCAACACAGTCATCATATCTATTTATTCATATTGCGCCATACTTAGTACATTCCATGTACTAGTGCATACATTTGCCTATCGTGTTTCACTAATGTATGGTGCCTCTCACGATCGTGGATAGCTGAACATTCTATCAGATTCAAGAGTTGGTGATTCCTCATGTTTAGATGATCGATACACATTTACTTAATTTCTTTCTTTCTTTTGTTTTCAGATGATATATGTGGTAGATAGTTACACCTAACCACTTGTTTTGATGTTTATATGTCCTGTTAAGACTAAGTTAGACTTTCGCATTTTAGAACTCTTTATGATATGATAATGCTTCTTTTGAAATCTTTATCCCTATGATATTTTATGATGTATGCTAAGTGACTTGTATAGGGACTTTCAGGGTTTTATAGCCATGTTACACCTAGGATATACTTGAATCGTGACAAGTGAGTATCTTGACATTCGTTAAGTTTATAGGATCTCGTATTCCATTGTTCAATGTGTAAAGAAGTAATGAAATATGAGGATGGGTTTGGATTATTCATATGCCATTTTGCTAATGAGGAAACTTGATGGTTTATTGATGTATGATTGTTGATATTGGTTTAAATGTGGTGACTCATTTGATAATTTAACTCTATTATGTTGATATGACTTGTATATTTATATGTAAATCGTCATTTGTCATATTTTTGTAAACAATCATACTTGTATTGGTTCTAAAGCACTATGATGAGATTATTGTGATACAAATGCCAATGGAAAGTGGTTGTTGCAAGTTCTATACTGAGGGGTTGAGCCACACGCACCATGCAAGTTCTATATTAAGTGTTGGGCCATACACTCCGTGGAAGATACATGTACTGATAATTTTTCCATAGGTTCCAGTCTGAGTCAAATGGATGTGTATCGTAAGATAGATATGCATAGACTTACATGATATGTTAATTTGTTGCATTGAACATCATTACCATTAATAACTTGTGTGTGCTGTTTAACAACTTTTTGTTGTTGATTACTGTATCTATGTTTATGACATCTTACTAGTGAAAATGTGGTCATTGTGCTATATATTATACAAATAGGAAGTTGATAGGTTGGGATGAACTTTTATGAAGGTTGTAGTTATGTGGAGATTCAATTAGAGCATTAGGAGTACTCGTATTCTATAATACTTTGCTTGTTGAGTACCATTTTACTTGGTACTCATTCCTTCTTCTACATTTGCGTTAAGTTATGATCCATGATCTTTGTCATTCTCTAAGTTCTTCCTGTGGAGATTTCAGAGGTAGTTTTTTTGTCATTCCAGCATCCTCTTACTCCCATATATTGTTCTACTTTTAAAAATAATGTCATTTAAGACTTTGATATATCGTGAGTTTATAGTATTTTTGATACAATTTTACTTAAAAATTTTGTGTGTCTAGGGCCATATTGTAATAAGCATCAATGTTTTTGTGAAATATTTGTAGGATATAGGCTTGGATTTGGAATTTTGAGATGACACCTAAAAATTTGTAGAAGGATCCATCCATGGAGATGACCTACGGACCGTAGGTCCAGTCACTGTCCATAGATAGGTAGCATAGATAGAGAATCAAGGAAGTCTGACTAAGAGTGGAAGTACAAATGCAAGTCATAGATAGTAGATTGACCCATGGGCCATCCTGCATCCATAAAATGGTTCAGAGAAGTTGAAGTTGTAGTACCTGATGAAATTCCTAAATATGGATCCACGGAAGAGGACCCACTGCACATCCACCGATTTTATCAGGGAGTGAAGGTTCCAACCTCTGCAAGAAAATTTTGTTAGTGTGGACCAACGGAGGTGACCTACGGACCGTATGTCAAAGTCGTCGATCAAAGCCGCGTCTAAAAAGTTTATTTCTTTATTGTGTTTCCTTTTTGTTTAGGACATATTTTTTAATACATAGGTTATGTAAACCTCATTTTTTGGGGTTAGACATTATTGTTTACTTTTAGTTCTTGATATTTTATTGGGAATAACTTGCAAAATTTAGCAATTTGATTTCTGACTTCTGGTTTATAAGATTTTTATTTTGAAATTAAATTGAAATTACAAGTTTCTTCTACTCAATGCATAAGTTCATGAATTCTCTTTACAAAAATATGAATTGTGTTGTTTCAAGCATGCGTAACAAAATCTACAACTGCAATTATGTTAACCATGAGCAATTAACAACGAATGCATAATAACTAAGTAATTCTTGACTAGTGTTGATGTATGCATTGATAATTCTTTCACATAGATGTCTTTTTTAACGAGTGCACGCGTTAGAAGTCGCCTTGTTGCTACTTTCCATACCAAGAAGTTAGCTAATGAGACAAGAATTATTAACATAGATTTAGTGTGATACTATCTAATAGTCTAATGTCAATTAGTGTGATGGTGAAAACAAAGTCATACATTAATGTGAAGTCTAATTTGAGTTAAAAGTAGGGGTAGTAAATTATACACACGTAGTTGGACAAAGGTGCGGGGTGAAATTTCCTATTTAGAAGACCAATCACTTAGGATGCATATCTTACACTAAGAAAAGATAACTATTATTAGGATTACCGCTTTAAGAGCTTATGGAGAACACGTACACCCAGTTTCACTCTCTCATTGATAAAAAAAGCTTGAATGCAACTTACTTGTTACTTAACAACAATCGGTTAATTGCTACACAAATCCCCCATTAATTACTTGTTTCGGAAATAAATTGACTAAGCGAATATAATAGTGAGTTAAGTTTAAGTCTAAATTATATCCCTCATGAGATCAACCCCAACCTACAAGTTGGGTTCTTTATTTGAAAACGATAACTTATACTTCTTTGAGGGAGGTGTTATTATGAGCATATCAAATTTTGGCGCCGATGCTGGGGAATAAGGATTTTAGATTATGTTTAATTACATTATTGAACTTAAGTGAATTATTTCCTAATTTATGTTTACTTTGTTTTTGTTTTTCACAGGCTTCTACTCTAGTGTATGCCAAGTACACGGAGTCGAGGTAAACCATTGACCCCATACGATCCACAGTGAATAAATATTTGAGAAAAATGAATATGAAAGGGGTGAAAATCAATCATATCGGAGGAAATCTAGGTGACATAGTTGAGTTTCAGCCTCCTGGAGCTGTTAATGAGAATGCTCAGCTTCCTGGTGATAATTTACTTGGAGATGCATTGAAGTTGCAGGATCCATTAAAACTAAGACTGTGTGAAAAGTACAGGGTCGAGTTTAACACCATTTAATCAGAAAGACCCATTATTCTCCCTCCACTACCTCCAGGGCATACATTTGTGATGACAAGCAATCTTTCTTTCAACTAGAGCGTTGTTTTCAGGTATAGCTTCGGAAGATCCACATAAGCACGTGGCTAGGTGGAGAAGTATCTGCAAAAGTTATGTGGGCTGATCAGAATTACATATGAACATCATAAGGTTGAGATTCTTCCCTTTATCATTGACTGGTGATGCTTCAATATGATTTTATGAGCTTTAGTACAACTCTATTCACATATGGGACAAATTGCATCAAGTGTTCATGACCAAGTATTATACATTGTCCAAGAAGCTTAATCACAAGGACAAACTGAAAAACTTCGTGGCACTAAATGAAGAGTTTGTTAGTAGTTCATGGAATGGGTATTACATTCATAAGAAGTGTTTCGAATCACCACATTGATGATGAGTCACTGAAGGTTTATTTCTATAGAGGTCAAGACGACAATGGTAAGGTTATGATTGATACTATTGCTGAAGGATCATGTAGTGAGTGAACTTTTGAGGAGATCGCTGAGAAAATGGAGAATATTTCCTAAAATAATAAAAAAACTAAGCACTCGAAAGTCAAACACCAGAAGAAGCACATTTGTAGTTCAAACTGAGCCTAGTCAATCTGCCGATGACATTCAAGAGAAGATTGCTCATATAAGTACAAAACTTGGGTTGGTGTTGAAACATGTAAGTGGACCACCACCACTGGGTGAGGAATGCTACTATAAGGAGGATGCTTTCTATGTGAATGATTAAACAAGGGGTTTCCAAGCCAATACCCAAGGTTCCGATTCGGATAATTGGCGCCAAGGTCAAGGAAATCAAGGTCGAATTATGGTAACTACAACTGAGAGGGTAACTATGTATGATATGGTAGCTACAATTGCGACAATATCTATAATTGAAATTATGACAACCAAAATGAGATAGTTGGGCCTTATGTTCCACTTGAAAATCGAGAATCTTGTTATAGTGAAGCTAAGGGTAGTATGTCATGGACTAAGTATATAATGCAGAAGATGATGAAGAGGTTTAATTCGACTGATGAGAATGTGAAGGAGATGCTAAATGACTTGTCTAAAATTGGTCAAAAAGTTAATGCCCATGCGGTGTCAATAAAGCAACTCAAGTAGTAGATGAATTAATTGTCATTTATAGTAAACCCACGTCAGCGTGGTACATTTCCTAAAAATGCCATCTAGAATTCAAAGAATGATGGGTGTTGTATGACAGTAACTACTCGAGGGATAAATAGACCATTGATCTTCATAAGCCGTCTGAGGTTGAAATTGTGGTTGACAAAGATGATGATGAGATCGAGGTTTCTCGAGTGTCCAATAATGCGACAAAGAAGGAAGAGGAGGTAACCCAAAAAGTTGTACCCATTCCTAGACCTCCACCTCCATTTTCATAAAGGTTGGTAATTAAGAAGAATGAAGAAGGAAAATACCGCAAGTTTACCACTATGTTGAAGTAGCTTTCCGTCAATGTTCCATTGATAGAGCTTTGGAGAAAATGCCTATGTAATTTATAAAGAATTTGGTCAATAAGAAGAGAACCTTCACTTTTGAAAATGATGATAATCATAGTATTGAGCACCAAAAGGAGAATAAATTCTCTTATGCAGGAGGTAGTGAGAAAGGAAATTATCAAGTGGTTGGATGCTAGAGTCATTTATCCTATTGCATATAGAAGTTAGGTTTGTCTTTTTTAGTGTGTTCCCAATAAAGGTGGGTGTGAAAAATGAGCTTTTTCCAATGCGACTAGTGACTAGATGGAGAGTATGCATGGACTATCGGAAATTAAATGCTTGGATAGAAAAAGACCACTCCCCTATGCCATTCATGGATCAGATGCTAGACCGCCTCGCTAGTAAGGGTTAGTATTGTTTTCTTGATGGTTATTTGGGCTACAATCAGATTCTCATTGCTTCGGAATACCAAGAGAAGACCACTTTCACTTACCCTTATGGGACTTTCGCTTTCAAATGGATGCCATTTGGGTTGTGTAATGCTCCACGACCTCTCAGCGTTGCTTGATGTCGATATTTCAGATATGGTGAAGGAAACTATTGAGGTATTTATGGATATCCATGGTAGGTGACTTATTTAATGTCTATCTTATGCATTTGGCTGAGGTACTAAAGCGGTGCGAAGAGTGTAATCTTATGCTCAATTAGGAAAACTGCTACTTCATGGTGAAAAAGGGGATCGTTCTGGGTCATCAATTTTTAGGGTATTGAATTTAATATAGCTAAGGTTGAGGTAATAGAAAATCTTCCACCACCTATCTCTGTAAAGGTGTTAAAAGTTTTCTTGGGCATGCGTTCTTTTATAAGAGGTTTATCGAGGATTTCTCCAGAATTCCACACCCTTTATGCAAGTACTCGAAAAGGACTATAAGTTTTACTTTGATGATGATTATATGAGAGAATTTAGAAAGTTGAAAGAAAATCCAGTTTCGACACCTATCATTATTTCACCATATTTGAGGTAACTATTTGAATTGATGTGTGGTGCGAGTGTAGTGGCGCTTGGTATGGTATTAGGACATAGGCGAGAGAATATTCTTCATCTTATTTACTGTGCCAGCAAAGATCCAAGTGTGGCTCAAAAGAACTTTAAAGTGAGTGAACAAGAACTCCTTGCAGTGTTTTTCACATTAAAGAAATTTTAATCATACTTTCTTGTTACTAAGGTCATAGTGCATATTCACCATTCTGCATTGAGGTACCAAATGACTAAATAATGCAAAATGGAGGCTGAATAGATGGGTATTGTTGCTACAAAAGTTCAATTTTAAGGTGAAAGATAGAAAGAGAGTTGCCGATTATTTGTCCAGATTAGAAGAGAAAGAGATTCTCAAGCTAGGAGATGGGGCTGAAATTAATGGTGTTTTTCCAAATGAATATGCATTAGCTGTTTCTCATAATCTTATTCGTTGGTTCACAGACTTTGTTAACTATTTTGAAAGTGATCTGGTTCCATCGATTTTGTCTTTTCACCAAAGGAGAAAGTTTATGCATGATGTGAAGAAGTTCTTTTGGGATGAGACTTATTTGTTCCATATTTGTGCTGATGGGATTATTCGTCACTGTGTGCTCGAGGTAGAGATGATGAGTATACTAGAGGCGTCTCATTCATTTCCTGTTGGAGGACATCATAGTGGTATTCAGACTTCTTATAAGATATTACAGTGTGGGTATTATTGGCCTACCATCAACCAAAATGCTCATGATTTTGCCAAGTCTGTGATCATTTGTTAAGAGAAGGAGGAATTTCAAAGAGGCAAGAGCTACCTATGAATTAAAATTGATGATTGAGTTGTTTGATGTATGTGGCCTTTTTTTATGGGTTCATTTATGAGTTTACATGGGATGAAATATGTTTCTGTTGTGATTGATTATGTGTCAAAATGGGTGAAAGCAATTGCGCTTTCAAACAATGAAAGGAAAAATGTCACCGCATTCTTGAAAAAGAGTATTTTCTCTATATTTGGTATACCTAGGGTTATTATTAGCGATGCATGTTCCCACTTTTGTAAAAAATTGTTCAAGGTGTTGCTAGAGAAATATGGATTCTGTCACAATGTAGCTACTCCTTTCCATTGACAGTCTAGTACGCAAGTTGAAGTGTCAAATAGAGAGGTAAAGCAAATCCTTGCAAAGACTTTGAATGTAACTAGAATTGATTGGTCAAGGAGGCTTGATG